CAGTGGAATTGCGGAAGGGAAGAGACCGTGGAATGCACAGAGAACTCCATGTATCATCTCGGGCAGTGGTGCTTAACCCTTTTAGATCCATGGAGCCCTGGACTTAATATATTGATATTTGATTGTCTCACACTTGTATGATATACCCAAGGTATCATCAAACTTTAAAGTAAGCAATTGAAAATGATAATAATAATAAAACACTCCTTTTTGTGTAAAACGTAATGTTAATTTTTAACTGATCCTTACGGACCAACAGAGACCCACCCATGAATCCCAGGTTAAAATAAATAAATAAATAAATAAATCATTGCTTTAACCACACACATCCGCGTCTCCCGCAGGTGAAGGTGGCAGCCGTGATGGCGGTGGCGTGCGTCGTGACGGCTGATCCTGAAGCTGCTCCTGGCGGAGGCTACGGTGGTAGCTTCGGCGGTGGAAGGCCGGGTGGATTGGGTGGAGGCTCCGTCGGCTTCGGTCGTCCTGGCTTTTCTGGGAGTTCATTTGGACACGGCGGATTAGGCGGAGGTTCATTTGGACACGGCGGATTAGGCGGAGTTCATTGGACATAGCGGAGTAGGCGGAGGTTCCTTCGGAGGCTCATTCGGAGGACGTCCATCTCCTTTTGGCCGCCCATCCTTCGGACAACAGTCCTTCGCCGCCATCCTTCGGACAACAGTCCTTCGGCCGCCCATCCTTCGGACAACAGTCCTTCGGCAGCCCATCCTTCGGCCGCCCATCCTACGGCCAGTCGTATGGCCGCTAGACAACACAGGACACCGGAGGACCTTCACGCAAAAACACCAGGATATTTCGATTCACACTTTTACAGGAATGCCGTCAACGGAACACTTTGCAAACTCACCTGTGTTTTCGCAAGGTGGCTCTCGTTGGCACTCCTGATTGGCACTGTCTAATCAGGAGATTGGCAAATAAATAGATAAAGTTTCGGAAGTACTCGTATGACGTCCCTTCTCTCCTGGATTAACATTAGTTTTCGTTAATGATTTCGTATTCAGTGATGTATGCAGAAATATTGTTTATTAATACGCACATGTATATACATACATACATATATTTGTGTGTGTGGGAATGAACATAAACATATAGATAGATAGATAGATAGATAGATAGATAGATATATACTAACATATATGTACATATATATATTCATATATGTATATACATATACATACATATGTGCATATACATGCATATATGTAAATATCTATATATACATAAACACACACGCACAACACACACCACACACACACACACACACACACACACACACACACACACACACATAATATATATATATATATGTATGTATGTATGTATGTAAGCACATACATGCATAATATAGGCATACACATATGTGTATGTTTGTCTGCATACGCATGTATATGTGTATGTGTGGGTTATATTCATTTATACATAAATATACATATGTATATGAGGGGGTATATATGTGTACAACACACACACCACACACACACACACACACACACACACATACATATATATATATATATATGAAATATATATATATATATATATATATATATATATATATATGCAAAACACGAAACCAATAACAATCACGAAATAAGCCTACGGAATGAAGAACATAAATTGAAAGAAGGATTAAAATTACCAACATCAAAACTGCGAGCAACAGAAAATGGCTACTGGGATAACCCAAGTATTCGAGCACAGGAATAAGCATGATGCTCGCAAGGTGCAAGAGAAGTGTGCAATAGCAAGTCTCAATATATCCTTTGAAAAGTCGCTGTTGTGATGTATTGTTGTATATAAGTTATGTATATATATCATATGCGTGTTCACAATTATATATTTGCGTGTGTGTTGTTCTTCAGCATTGTTATCCAGTCTTTATAAGAAATGGACATTTTGGTGATTATTTCGACCCTCTTCCACCAAACAAAAGATCTATAAAAAAAAAAAAAAAAAATTTTCTCAGGTCTTATGCCCTACATTCAACATACATCTCGCCCTTACCTTCCCCTTTTCCCGCATTTCTCTTATGAAACTTGTCTTCTGCGTTTTCCGATGCTTTTAAGATCTTAATGTGCCATCGTATGCTCATCGTAAACTCATCTCGTATTAGCCACCTCATGCATGGAAAGTAATAACTTCATTTTGCTGCGTCTTGCCTTCAATGCTTTCTGTCCCCAAGTCGCATTTAGCTCTTCTTAAGCACAATTTTCATGCTGCATAACTTTGCTAACATTTTAGCAGACGAAAAATATTCCCATTTAGTTCATCATAAGTAGTATTTTCACATGTAATATCTCCGACTTTCCTACAAACCGATTAAATATATATATACAAATAAATTTGTATATGTATATATATATATATATTATATATATATATATATATATATATTATATATGTGGTGTATGTATGTATGTATGTATATATATAAAATATATTATATATATACATATATATATATATATATATATGTGTATGT